AGTTTCTGATGGTGTTGTCAGCACTGCTGTGTTGACGTGTTGACTAAGTCACATGCTGCGTGCTTAAGAAGTTTCGGTCCTAGTTGGCAGTGGAAACGGCAAAAATATCTTCAGCATGTGTGAGGGACTGGGTTGATGGCTGATCCTTTCGGGTCTGACATGTTCGGCGATGATATTCAGCTCGGACGTCATTTTGGCACGCGTCTCACATAAACTTTTACAGCGGAGCTGTTAAGGGCTAGTTTCCCCAGGATCGCATCCCCCACAAAAAACTGTCGACACAAAACTCTGGCTGCCGCCGCCGCTCAAAGATGGCGGTAGCTGTCCAGAGTGTTGTGTTGGCCGGTTGTCCACTTGCCGCCATCGCTCATAGATGGCGCAACCTTTCCAGCCTTTCCACTCTGGCTTGCCGACTTGCAGCCGGCCATTACTTCATTCCCACCATATTATAGCTTCGTTGGTGTTTCTTCTTCACCAAAGGGAAAAGGCTAAAAGTTTTTTAATCTACAACAAAGGCGAGCTGGATATCCCTTTGTATTGCCTGCATGTAACAAATGTAAGTGCATACACTACCTAACACTGAGAAATTTGGCACGCTTTTTTTGTGCCTCCATACCGTGCAAATGTGTCTTCGTATGGTTGGTCTCGCCTTGCATACGACTCCCGCCCTATTTGTTTTTAGCTGTGTTTCTCGAGTTCCTTGTTTAGTTCCAATTTCTTTTTTGGTTTGTGTACAACGAGCGGATGAACTACAAAACAATCGGGACATTAAATAAAAGGTTGCGAATGCAAACATTGCTTTCTTGATGTTTCTTGATTGGTGCAAACAAACAAAAGTTCTAGTGCAGTTGTACGAGATGCGCACGTATTTCAATCAACTGTATATTTTATGACACAAAATTCCGCTCCTTTGCCTACATAAAATAAATGAAATAAATCATAAAAAGCAACGGGCAATGGGCACAGCCAAGCAAAGATTATGTGAGGCCCGATAGAATGCGGTGCGCAAGATCGCCTACATCTGTGGCAAGGGATGTGGTGACGTCAGAACGCACATTCGTCCCTTCAGTCTTTTTTAAAAAGCCATTTTCCCAAAGTACGATACTCACAAAATTTGGTGTACCACTTGGCTAACCCCAATCTTTTAAGAAGACTGTGAAAGTTTGCAAAGTTTTGAAACATCGAACGTATTGTATAAGCAATTCAATGATTTTTCGAACTTCAGAATTTTTGCCGCTGAGAAATTCAAACGTTTTCAAACTTTCAATTTTTCACGCTATTAAGTTCGAAATTTTTGACCTTATCGTGCTAAGAAATTCAATGATTTTCAAACTTTTGAACCTCTTAATTTCAGAAGCTTAATGAACTTCGAACTCCTGAACAAAAGTTAGACGACGTTTAAACCAAGCTCACCCCCATGAGTTCAAGCGGTTCAAGGCAACAAATATAAATAAAACAAAATGTGTGAAGTGTTAAAATTGCACTAAAGTCTTACTTAGTTGATCGTGCCACAAACAAATCACTTGTAAAGCGCTGAATGATCACTTTGGCGTAACCTAAACCTTGCGCCTTTTTTTTTTTTTCTGGCTTCCGAGAGCCTCTCTTGCGTACAACTCCCCGGGGTAACCTGTGAGCCAACAGATACCTGATGTGTAGGCTTGAAATTCAACCGAGGCACTTCGCTGGGATCGTCCTTCATATCATTAGTTGTTTTTAAACACAAGTCTCCCCATTTCCTGAAGTAAAAAAAAGGCGCACACGTAGCGCGACGCCGATACACTACAGCGAATCCCAAATCGGCCCTTACTTCATTAATGTTCGTATAACTGGCTGCATTTTAGAGCAGCCAATATTTCCATTTGTCGAAGTTCCAGGCAGCGGCGGTATGGTTAGGCTGATAACAACACGTCGTGACCTTTCCATTCCACGGGTCATCCCGCCGAAAACAAACGCCCAGAGCAACTAAACATATTTGGGAAGCCTGGTTGCCTGTATGTGCATGCGCTGTCCTGTATATTTAGTTGTCCTACGGCAGCACTGCATCTAGGCGATGTTTCAACCGATTGCTACTAGTTCGCAAATAAGTAGAAAGTACTTTCACCTGACCGCCTCGGGGCTTTTCTATGAACCAGTCAACCAGTTCAACGCTTGTTTCACAAGTTATGAAAAATAATGAGCAATACAGGTAGTACCGTCAGTACCCCAGTAAAGAAGGAGTATATTCACGGCATAAAACAAATAGGCATGTTTTCAGTAAAATTTGTAGCACATTTTGCATTTTTTTCTTTTTTAGAAGAATTCATGAAAAATTAGTGTAAAATTGCAGAATTTGATCTCCGTTCGTGAAATGAAAAAAACTTCAAACTTACAATCAAAACTTCCAAACTTTGCGAACTTGTGCCTCGAAAAATCTGTCCAAAAATCGAAATCTTTGAACTTTAACTTTCAGAAACCTTGACATATTCAAACTATTTGAATGCGAACCTCAGCGGGGTTCTAAAAGGCGAACCTTTTGAATTTGAACCTTAACGAGGTTCCAAATTCGTGAACCTTTCGAACTCACAAACTTCGGGAAGTTTGCGGCATCCCTACTCGGAACAGCTTTTTAAAATTAGCAGTCCACCAACAACCAACACCGAGGAAGATCGACCTGTAGTAGTACTGAGCATAATTTCCGAGCCTAGTGCCCTCCCGTATCAGCCGCTGCTCCTAGGCAACACCGTCCAGAAGACGAGGTCGTAGTGCTGACATTTTTGCGTCACCAACGAAGGCCAACGTCAGACACAGACTGGAGACGACTGCCGCATCAGCGCTTGGCTCCGTGTTGAGTTTGAGCCGAACGTTGACGCAATTGTTGGGTCCAATCTGGGACCAGCGTTGGCCTTCGCTGATGACGACATCTCTATTGGCACTGCGGCTTTGTTATCTAGGAGCCATTGCCCAAGAACACCGGTGCAACGCGGTGAAGCTCGATGCGCGTGCAATAGTGAGAGGCGACTTTTAGCTTCGACATTGTCGACATCGCCCGGAAACTCAGACGAAGACAGGACCAGCGCGGTTGACGAGCAATCTCTACACTTTTTTTCGACCAAAGTCATAGTGCAGCCGACGCTAGAGAAGCCAATGGGACCATTAAAACAGCACAAAAAACCCGACATAGCATTCGTCACTTTTCTGCATGTGTTCTTTCATTGGCAAAACCAATCAAGCACAGCAAATGCCCCATAACTTGTGCTTCTAGAGTCTCTATGTTCGCGAATATCTATTTTCAAGCCTTCAACTCTGCCCCGATCTAAGATGATACAAGCTATACCGTGAGTCGAGACACTGTGAAACAGATATTTGTACCACTTTCCTTTCCTTTTACTTCTCCGAATATTAGGGTCACCAATAACAAAATATTTTGATCTGCTATAAGGTCAGTGTCGGTGTGGCGAAATCGTCAGCAAACATGGCACTCTGGCGAAGGATGTAGACTTTTGTTCTTGGTGCAACTTGGTGCAGAACTACCATCACTGAGTACACATGTTGCTTTAGGAGGTTCAGACGAGTTTTCTATTACTATGTCTCTATCAGGCTCAGCGGACATCAGATGAGGAGACAATCGTTATGGTAAGTTGGATAATTGTTAAAAATATGTTAACTTTTTTTTGCAAGGATTTGCAGGAAAATAACGTCTTCTTTTAAATATAATTCAATCAATTTTTTTTTCTCGCTCAATTTTAAAATTGCATTTCAAAAGAACGCTACAAGCACTACCCACCATGACAAGACCGAAACCACCTTGTCACTCTTCCAAGTGTCCTTGTCGACAGGGCTTGCAGCGCTCTTTTTGCATGCAAGTTTTAAATCGGGCAGAGAAGCCCTAAAATTGGTTGATTAGAAGAGCCATTTTCTTTTTTTAAATCTTTAAATTCGTCTAGACTTCAAAAGGAATTGCATTCAATACTGCAACTGTGACATGAGACCTCGAACTAATAATTAAAGTCAACAGATCTTAGCTCATTAGTCAACTTACCTTGACGGTTATCCCCTGATCTACTGTAGCTGAACCTGATCAAGAGATAGTGCAGCTGGCACTCGTCACAGGCACCCCTCTGCGTTTTTTAAAAGAAAAGAAAATTCTGCTTGATTTACAATTAGTTGCCTTATTCATGCACGCATGGACGAACCACCATTGAAAACGAAGCAATGGCTAAATACAATTTATTTACGAACTCTCCAGTGACACACTTTCTTCCAGGAACTTTTTGGCGTCATGAGCACATACGTCCCCCCCTCACATGCCGGTAACCTTCGTTCCCTTTCAGTCGCTAAAATCCAATCCAACATAAAGCTAGTCCTTTCCCTAAGGACGTCACAAAATTTTCTTAAACCTGGAGGTTTGACTGGTTCGGCAAATCTTAGAACCCGTGGCAATGTTAGAAAAAGTGGAAAGTTTGAACAGTGTTGGCTGACGTTTACACAAAAATTAAATTTTTGAGAAGAAAATAATCCATGCAGTACAATGCAATCCACTTACAACAAGAAGGAGAAAACCCGAAATTTCGATCATTATAACCGATTATTGTTGTATCTGGACTAGAATCTGATTGTTTCTAGATTAGAAACTCTAGAAAGTGATTGTTATAAGCAAATACATTGCTATGTGTGATATCGTTACAAGTGGATCACATTGTAGTTGTAAATTTGACACAATATGAAGGGAAACAAAGTTTTACACAAACAAAGCCCGTCACCTGCCGGGGAAGCGGGCACAATATGTATCATGCCTATTGTGTCACATTAATGATAATGTGAAGCAATAATCCTGATAAATATTGTGTCCCCTCGTTCCCTAGACAGCATAGTCAAACCAGTCTAACTTTACCTTAAAAGTAGGGATATGCAAATATTAAAGTTTCGGAATCGAATCAAATACTGATTTACTGAATAATTCAATCACACTTTGTAATTTCTAGCATTTGATATTTAAAATAACTTGACACATTGAATTTATTGCTTGGGAAAATCCAGGTTTATTAAAAAAAATGCTGTCCATACGACGACATAGCTCGCACAGGTCTCTGCTGTATCAAATTCAAGCCTGCATCGAGAGGCCTTAAAGTAGTTTGTATCCCGTAGTCCTAGGGAGGAAACCACGAAACACCGTAAGCCACCCACATTGTTTTTAAATTCAAATATCTCACATCACATGCTGCCATCTCCTGTGCACTACAAACACATTCTTTCTTTACAGGCGCCCAAAAAAGTAGTCGCGTAAGACAACTGCTTCCTCCGACGTGGCTTCCTGTTAGGTATGCATAAGCAGGGAGGGGTTCTAATATGACAATTACCAAATCCAAAAATCTACATTTTAATCAGTCTCGTCCTCTGATGTCGCTTTCCGCAGCATTGAGCAAGGTGGAGCGGCTAAACAACGCAAGACGCCGCCCGACTGCGACAAATAAGCTGTATCCGTCCATTCATCCCACACGCTGTGTATCCACCCACACATGGGTGGCCACATTACTTAGCTGCATCTCAAACTTTCCAGTGCCACAGAGTAGTCCTTAATGCCTTTTTCAATTGTGCTATCCAAGGGCAGTCTTCTTTTCGTGTATTCTGCTGTAAAATAAACATGTAGCTGGATTTTTCCTTAGTCTATGTTTTCTTTTTACTTTTCGTGCGCTCTTATACTCTATTGCAGGTTAAGGGAAGCAGAACAGGCCCCTCCTGCCAAGCCCTTCTCCCTTTCCACTTAGCTGAGCGAAAGCCAGAGAGGGGGGATTCCTCCTAGCTTCGTCTCGCCCCCCTCGGGTGTTTTCTCTGCTAAGTGGAAAGGACGAAGGGCTTTGTGAAAGAAGCCTGTCCTGCTTTTCTTACCTGCACCAGGGTACAGCAAATGTTTTAGTATTCAATATTTGAGTCGACATACAAAATTTTGGATGCTACTCATTTTGGGCCGAAATTTCATTATTTGCGCACTTCTACTTAAAGTTTTTCAAAGGTCAAGCTTAACGAAACTGGAGCCTCGGGGTGTTTGTAACGTCCCTACTTTCAATCTCCGCCGGCGTGCTTCCTAGCCAGGTGGGCCCTAAGCTCGCATGGGGACACAAACCCCTTGCCGCAGTGCTCGCATGCGTGGGGGTACTCCTTGGAGTGCACTGCGATCACGTGCTTCCTCACGCTGCCCGAGTCGCCGCCCCTGTACCCGCACAGGTGGCACGCGTGCACTCTAGTGCCAGAGTGCGTCCGCACGTGGCGGACGAGGACGCTCTTCTGGGTGAACCCCTTACCGCACTCGGAGCACACATGCGGACGTTCGCCCGTGTGCGTCCTCTCGTGACGCCGCAGGTCTGCGAGGTGCGCCAGCCGCTGGCCGCAGGTGGTGCACTCGTGCGGGCGCTCGCCCGAGTGCACTCGGCGGTGCCTGGCCAGGTGGCCCTGCTGGGCAAAGGCCTTGCCGCACGCGGAGCAGACGAAGGGCGTCTCGCCCGTGTGGGTCCTTTCGTGTGCCACCACGCTGTCCACGCGGTCGCTGGAGTAGGGGCAGTGGCGGCACTGGTGCCGCCCCTCCGCCTTGTGGTGCACTGTCTTGTGGTGCTTGTCCAGGTAGTCGCGAGACGAGAACAGGCTGTCGCACTCACTGCACGCGAAGGCCCCCGCTGCCTTGGCACATGGCGTCTCTCTCCGTTCTGCGTGCCAAAGGGAAAAAGGATAGGCGGGGAGGTTCGAGGACCTTACTAGGTGGGCGACACGGTTGTTATTCGGGATACTAAAACCCAATGAGACACTGTCCTGCCTTTCAGCTTTTATTGTGGTGGGGAGGATGTCAAGAATAATATATTACTCAGCTTCACTCGAAGTCTGGCCGCAGTCCGACGCTACATTCACAATGAGCCAGTTAAGCGGCGCTCGTCGTCTTGGTGTGTCTGCCATCGCCGGCCAAACCAATCGCATGGCTATGGCCTGCTTCAGACGGGGCAACTTTTCCAGCAATTCTGAGGGTGTTTCCTAGTTTTCCCTAGATAGACACAAATTGCTGAGATCGGGTTTGGCTCGAAGCGGCCGAGCAACTCGAACAACTTGAAGACGTTTGAAGCGTCAGCAGTCAATTAAGGATGCAATATTTTCACGCGACATCCCTGTGGTGGTGATGATGACAGGTAAAGACTTGGTTCTAGTTTAAATTTGTTTTTGGAAATACAGTATAGATCACTTGCAACGTAACCGCTTATAGTGCAGGACCGGATATAACGCGGCTTTTTTAAACCACCGGTTCGCCTCCCATAGAACTCCATGTAATTACATACCGCTTAAAATGCAGGCGCGCGAAGGGAAATACTGGTAATAGTGCGGTTTTCGGAACGGCCCGGCGACTGCACAGACTGACCGACGCAGAGAGCACGCTTCCCTGTGCGACACTATATAACGGTGCGAGCCGCAAGCGGCACTCGCGGGGCAAGGAGCTTGCTCGAAGAAGCGGGGAGAAGAGAGAGGCTTCAGTTGCCATAGCGACGGAGGGACGCATGCACATGTCGTTCACGTGCATGCGTCCCTCTGCTGCGTTGGAAAACAACCGCAACGACAGACCAATCGCAAGTCGAGAAGTGTTCGCGCACATTGCATGCCGGTCGCGGGCCGGCCGGCCGGCTGCTTCTATCCGCAAACATGGCGTCGGTTTTGATCGTCGACGTAGACGGTGTAGAAGTTCATCGTTCCGCGTAAAAGCGCTATCCTTGACAGTGAATTTTCGTTGTGTGTCGCTATGATAACCCAGCACATACTAGAAGGGAAGATCCACCTACTCGTGCGGCGATGTTGTGGTGGCACTCTCAAGACGGCAGAAACACCCGTGTCGTCGTGTTTGTTTACTTCGACAACAGCGGTGCTTTCTAAGCATTTGTGTTTTCGAACATCGCCCGGATTTTTTATTTGGAGCATTTCATGCCTGTGCTCAAGTTGAAGGAATTACTGGTGCATACCGTATAAAGGATGTGAATTTTCACGCGTTTTCATGAAAGTGATTAGGGTTAGCAATCCTGAACGCTCGCAACGTCCGTCCACAACCCGCGACGCCGTTAAAAGGCTGCGCCAGGCAAAAGTCGCTCATTTCTTTTAAAATCTGTGACACACTTGAGAGAGGTGTACTAGTCTGGTGAAATAAAAACTTTCCTCAAACTAAAGCTTTATTTTTCATCTAACATAAAATAAATTCTTTTACAAAGGTAAGTTGTCTGATGGCATGCATTTTGGCCTGAAAAATTGATGTTTTGGTTATAGCGCGGTACCGCTTATAGCGCGGATTTTCGCGACTCCCGCAACATACGTTATATGCGGTCTACACCGTAAACCTTTTCAGAAAGATGAGTTGGTATTCTCGCCATTCAGATATAAAAGCATGTTTAAGCCGTGCGTCTAAATAGTGCACGAAAAATCAAATTTCATAATGATGATGGCAAGTTGTAGCAATTCGGCTGCTGCGTGTGAACGCGGGCGGGCCGTGTTGCTGGAGATGCGACGTCAAGTGGCTGGGCGAAACTGCCCCGTCTGAAGCGGGCCTAAGGATGAAGCTCGAGCCAGTTGGTGCAACATGATTCAAAGGTTTAGAAGAGCGCAAAAGGGACGGGAAGTAGAAGGACACAGTGCTGTTTCTGCGTCCGACTTATCGTCTGTTGCGCTCTTTTAAACCAACCACGCACAGAAAGAGGTGCAGGATGACAACAGCTTTACTGTGCGGGATTGGTTTAGCAGGTGTTGGCAGACGTCCAAAGAGGATGAGCGCCGTGACATTCTGCTTTTGGCGATGCTTGATTGGCCTCACTGGATCGAAGCGTTAGCAGCAGCCGGACTTAGAGTGAAACGGAGCATAAATGTTGGTTCGCACGTTTGGGTTCGACTAGGACCAACTGCGCCACAACCTGTTTTTAAGCCCCTTGTGACTGCTTAGGACCGGCTGTGCGGCAGAGCACCCGGTTGTAAACAGTTACAAGGCTTAAAACGAGCCTTCAAGCCTCTCCAGTTGCGAGTGTGTGAAGCAGCCTTAATGCTCAGCTGAGACCGCACATTTGTGACACCAACTACCCTAGTGAAAAAAAAAAAAGAAACATTACAAAAACATATTTTGTTCTCGAGGCCTCAATATTTTGCATATTTTTGCAAGGATTGGCCAGTCAACTTGGAGTTATCAAAAAACATGTACAGCATCTGTCTCGCAAACAATGAACGGGGTCCACTTGGTCAACGACTGCAAAGAGCTGCCCTAAAGGATGCCGGCCAGCGACTACACGTCCTGTCGCCAGCTGCCAATCTCTAAGATGACATTCAACATGCCCGGAAAATAATAAATGCCATAGTCACTAAGAGAGTGAGAATGGCGTGGTGCATCCTCCATACGCCTGGCCTCCAGCACACCTTCCGCCGTGCTTTGGCTGCCCATGGACGCTCGAGAGAAAGCGTCCTCGAAGGCAGGAAGCTGGAACTGGAGGCACAGAAACTTAGAACTTTCAGAATATAAAATAATTCACGCAGCTCCTCCCTGCCATTCTCACCCTGTCAGTGACCATAATAATTAAATCTGAAATCCTTCAGCCACGGGTGGTGAGCAAAAGGTGAACAGATTTTGCCCGATTAGGCCAGACCACCCTCGACATTGCACAGTAGCTAAAAAAAAAATACCAAGGAATCAAAACAATCAATAAAGCATATTATCGCACGGTCACGAAAAAAGTTTTGCATGTGAAAAACAAATTCAGAATCGCATCACTAACGAAGTCTGGCCAGAGGTAGTACAGCAGTTCACGAGGAAAGCTTAGAATAAAAAAAGCCAAGGAGGTATGCGGTAACAAGAGATTATAATACCACTCAACAGAAACTTTCATAACAACCAACATGATCAAAAACAACAATGGCTGTCACCCACTTCACCAAGTAAGACTAAAGCGTATTAAGATTACGCTGGACCAGATGTTTTTTTTTTCTTGCATCCCAGTTCTTATTAAATTGATTGTGCATGGATGCGCCATTAGACCTTCCGCAAAATGAAGGCTGGTTCGCACGTTTGCTTTTGCCAACTGCATTGCAAACTTGCTTTTCAACTGCTTACGACGAGAACACATTGGCGTCGTCCATCGGGAAGTTTTGGAACACTTGCAACATGCATATATCTTTTTATGCAGTAATACCTTTTCACCATGGGCTTGAAATAATATTGACAATGTTTTAAGTGATCGTTTCTCATACATAGTGCATAGATGTCGCAAATACCAAAACAGCTTCCGTCCAATTGTACCGACCGGAAGTGTTCCAGGGCCACCCACAAGGTGACATAAGTGTCTTCCACCGTCGTAAGCAGTTACAAGTGGTTGCAATGAAAGTCGAGCACACTCAAACACAAATGTGCGAGTCAGCCTTTACTTGAGCACCAAGGAGCGTGCTGAGCATGGCCGCACACACTGCATGTGCTGGCAGCTGCCAGCACGTGCTAGTTACGCTCCCAGCATCCTCCACGGTGCTCAAGTACCTCGGCAAAAGCTCCATTATGGGAACCGCCACCCCGCTTTAGTCTTTCTATGTGTCTGGTACTCTGTGGGTTGCAGGAATTCTCGTGCAAGTGCTTCCTTCGGGTCGTCGATGCACCGTTCGTCGTCGTTTCGTAAGAGCCGAGCCTTTCCTGCTCGACCGTCCGTCTGAAGGGTCCCTCAAAGGTTCTGCAACGAGGAAGAGACACAGCTGTTATACAGTTCCATCGCTCCTAGGGTCGTATGACCCAGCTTGAACAAGCTGGTGGCAAGACAATGCCTGTACTCAATCTCTATACTTGTATATAACTTTACGGGGCTATTCGGAAGTGAAGAGCGCCCTAGCTTCGACTGCAGGGCCCAGAAAGTTGTTCGCGGGTATTAGTGAGATCGAGCTACGGAGGGCGCTCTTTGCAGCTTGTTTTCCCAGGAGCCCGGTGTCTACCCACCACAAGGCCTGCAGACAACTATTTGCGTCATCTTCCTCGATAGAGCGCGGGGCGCAGTGTAACGGAAAGAGTTCACAACAGATGGAGCGATGTTGGCAGGACGCGACGGGTCGGATCCCTATCCCGAAAGGGGCCCTCTAATAACATTTGAGCTTCTGCCCTATTTGTTATTACCTCATTAGTGGTTCGGGCTACTCGAGGTACAAGCAGTAGCCACAAAATATTATCGCATCATATTTTAATTTGATCGGGCAAAAACAGCACAACGTTTGTTGGCAGCATAGTCTGTTGCAAAAGTGCCATGTGGTGACGTCGCTAGCAGCCATATTGTGAATGTCAGTGTCGACGAGAGACATCTGAATTTTTTTACGCAGGCTAAATATTGTGTATCACTCTGTAAACCATAACTATATTTTCAAAAAATAATTTTTTTTTTGTTGAGCGAGAAAGATGGAAAATTGAAAAAAAAATGCTTCAAATGTGCAGGAACCAGGGAGAAAATAACACATGACAAGCCCACCTCCCAGCAGCGGAACTAGTCAGCGCGCAAGAACACTAGCGCTGCCGCACTAACCCTCACCGAGGTCCGGCGGGTGTCCACTTGTGAATTGGGATATCGGGCTAGTCAAAGCGTGCGCGAGACTCATTTCTGCGATTTGAATCCTCCGCAAGGCATCATGCGCTGTTCAGTTTTGTGTTCCCATGTTTTTCTGTTTGCAAGCAAGTCTGTGCGCTCGATCGGGCGAGTCTGTACACGGACGGCTCTATGCGCTACCCCGAGAAGCTTCGCAAGTTGAACGAGCCGACGCGCTTTCACGGGCTGCCAGCCAAAGCTTGAAGGTCGATGACGAATCGAAGGTAAAGTTAATTGTAATTCAGGACGACCTCGCATACGAGCTAGGTATGATCATGCGCTAGTCGTATCGCACCAGCAGCCATTCCTGTTCGCAACGGCAAATGCATAGTGTAGAAGTGGTGTGCTATGAAAATGAAGTTGAAGCCCGAAACATTTATTCAGAGTGCACTACTATTTCGAATGCGTAAACAAAATAATTAAGGGATCGTCCACCCCCTTCAATGTAATACGCAAATGAATGCTGCTGCGAAACGCAAGTGCATCAAATTTGTCAAGGCCGGCCAGTGAATGCTTGGACGGACGCGACATTGTGACCTTTCTTGCTTTTTACCCGTGGATATTAGTGCATGTTCGGTAGAAAATAAATGCCTATTTGCACTCATTATCTCCAGCATTCACGTTTCTTTTTTTTTTAACCTATCGCAGTGCGACTTCCTGCTTCGAATCGCTGCTTTGGTCACACCACCACTATGCTGGGCTCTATGGTGGGGCGCAGTGAAGTAGACTACAAACATCGCACTACACCTGCGCACGTTGGGTTCGCCTACGCCAAAGTATAAAGAGCCGAGGTCTACAACAATGCAAGTGGCTTCAGCGATAAACGACAATGTGTGCACATCCTCCTCAGGGCAGCTACGAGCCAAACTCGCAGCCAATTGGCCAGCCGCTTCGCTCAAGCCCTCCAATCATTGAATTTTTACCACCGTGTCAAGGAGCAAAATGTTTTGCTTCTTATTGTAACTTTAATTTGCTTATAACTCCCAAAAGAACTCAAATTTCTGGAAAACCATTTTTCTTTTATGCTTCTCCGTTCAATGAGGTCTGTTTCGGCACAAATTTCAAACTAGTTCCAAGATCGTTGGAGGGCCCCTTGAAAGCAGTTGCGAGCAGGGGCGGATTTAGAGAGGGGGTCCGGATGTCCTGACCCCCCTCTTGATTTCTGCATGTGTAAAATTTAGGGCGTGAAACAAGGGAGAGGGGGAGGGGGTTCCTAAACATATGGTACGCTGACCAACAGCTGACCTTCCCCTCAGGAAATTCCTGCATCCGCCACTGGTTGCGAGAGGATGCAAGCATGACCGACTTCGACCGTTGTGCCGAGTAGGTGCTGGACGCGTGCACGGTGCAATGCTGTATTGTTTGCGCAGGCTAGAGTGGCTACAAAATTGCACCTCCTCCTCCGACGGGAGGACACGAGCGCTGGTTGAACCCCGACACACCGTTTGGCGACGTCAGCAGAGCGCTCAGTCATTCTGGCTGTACCCATGGGCATAGTTCTAGAGTTAACTGCTTGGGGTGCAGTTGCTGGATCTCTTCTCTGATAGGCCCCAATCCTGTCATTGCTGTCCTGCGATAAACTCAATGCTTTGTAATCCACTCGACCACGGTGTTGAGAGGTATGTCATTGGGGTCATCGTGGGATCATCCCACCAGTTTTGCACTTAGCGGACAAGGCCATAGCCGAACCACGATCTGTTCTCATGCGTCGTACGGTCACAGTTTTGTGTTGAAACATCCTTTCATCAAATCATGCCTGTGCTAAGCTCTCTCTTGCACTCGACACCATCGCTCAATGCCTTGCGCCTAGCTAGAAACACTTTTTAAAGTCGGTGCACACCTAGATCTCTAAGCGTCGCGACCATGGTCACGCCTTCAGTGAACTGACCCCTAGCATCTTCATTTGCACCAAAATCAGTACGGTGCACATTAGTGGAGCACGAAGCTACTGCGGGTGGCACTCACTTGGTCGAACAACGTTTTAGCGAATGTCAACTTTTTATTTTGCATCGAAAGACACTTTAGCAAATGGTCAGCCGCCGCGAAGCGGCATTTATGGGAGGGTAAGGTGGTTTAACATTTTTGTAATGAGCCACCGCAAACTGTTGCTGCAAAGGCAGTGTTAACACGCACCCTAGTGATTCGTCAACTGGCTCAAATGACCGCTGTTTGCTAAAATGGCATTCGCTCATGCGATATGGACCCAATCACTGCAACATTGAAGACAAACTGCACTGCACCTTTAAAGTGAATAGATGAACGCATCCGGCCGAAACCTCTAAATTGGGCAGCGGCTTGCGCCACCTAGCATCGCTTGTGCCTTAAAGAAGCCCTACGAGTTTGTTTACTAATTTTTAATTTTCACCGAACCTGAGCACATTGAACATAGTAACTTAAAAAAAATCTTCTTTTTTCGAATTTCCATTTATTTTAAAAGTTATAGGCAAATTAAAATTACAAGAACAAGCAAAAAATAACCTCCTTCACGACGTCCTTGGTTGCTTGAGTGGCTGTGAACTAGAGGAGGGGTAGCGAGCTGAGCAAGCGCTCACAGCTGCCGCACTCAGTGTCGACGGTGCGAGAGAGCGCCGCTAAAGCATGCTCTGGATAGGCTGTATGCAGCGGGCAGCCAGAGCGTCTCTTATTGCATTTGCTGCACGATTAAGCACTAATTCGGCATGACACTTCATTGGCCACAAATGACAGCAAACAAAAGGGAAAGATCAGTTCAGAATGGGAGCCGCTTCGCACTGCCATACCACAAAACGGCCAAACCGCACGACAAAGCTACTCGCCGAAGGCCTTAAGAACGCTTGGAGCCGGTCAGATCCTCTAATCCATACGAGCACAGCGCCACAGCGTACATCCGGGACCTTTCCGTGTCGGCGCTTGATCCCACTACTCTTTTCTAGTATGCACCGCCTTTTCCACCGCTTGGTGGCGGGTATGTTGACGGGTCATTTCTTGTTTCTGTACTTTATAAATTGTATTTGTTTCTTTTTTGATTTGAAATACTGAAAAACTACTTTAATAAAAAACGGAAACGGTTCGCACCACTTATATTTTGTATTTCGACCAAAAAAAAGCTTTTAGCAGCTCTGACCAGTAGTAAGCCCAGGACCAAAGACGTCACATATCGCGCGCTTTCAGTACCGCGGGTCGCCCCCGTCAGTGAAGGAGGTTCCTGCGTCGTCTGGTTAAAATATGACGCACTGATATTTAGTTACTCTCTCCATGCCCGCTGGCTTGCCCGAACTCCAAGAGACGTGGAACCGCAAAAAAAAAGGTAGACGCTTAAATATGATTGCAGGACACCTTCAAAAGTAAATGAATGAATGCACACGGCCGAACCCTTTCAAATGCGCGGCGGCTTGCGCCACCTAGCGTCACCACTGTCGTTGCACACACTTTGCACAGTTCATGCCAGCTGTTCCCTGTAGGTCTGGCAGGTCCTTGTGCCTTCTTTCTGGATAGGATGAACACTAAAATGTCACAGTAACTGCAAGAAAAAAAAAAAAGAAGAAAATTGAGATAGTTGATGAATTGTTTTCTTTTTTTTTTATAAAAAAATACACAGATGTAGTACGTCACTTTTTCCAGCAGCTATAATTTTGTTTGACACGCCGTGCGACTTCTTGATAATCAATGATGTTATAGCCAGTGGCAGGATGGGAATGGGAGAGTGCCTCCTTCGAACACCCGGCCTCCAAGCACACACTCGCTGCCCTCCTTCGTGCGTGCTTTGGCATAGCCTCCTTTATACTCACAAAGCCTGGCAGTTCGACGACAGAGCCATTGAGTGCCTGGTCGCAGATTTGGAGCGCGAGGATCTGGTAGCACTGGTAGCACAGAGCATCAAAGAGCCATTTCTCTAGGAACCTGGACGTCAGCGCACAGCTTTTGCAGCGGCGATGACCCGAAACGCACTTGTTCGCTCGGGAGAAGTGTGTTTCGGCAGCTCGCCGCAGCGGGGCGCAAGTCACGTGGCTCTCCTTTCACCCGTTGTCGTCCGCTCCACCTTTTCCATTTCGGCAGCCGCTTCTCGTGGCGATCTTCCAGGCTTTGTCAGTATAGAGGAGGTTATGGCTTTGACTACGCGCTTCGGGCACACGACACAGAAATGTCATCGAAGGCAGGAAGCTCGCGCTGGAGGCGGGCAACCGAAACTCCTTCCTGCCTTTCTCAATCTGTCAGGGACCACGCAAGTTACCGTTCGCGGTAGGTCGACCCAACTTCAGGTTGCCCGTCCAGTCTCTTGCCTTTTCGCCGTCTCCTCCACCCTCGAACTTCGAGACGACTTTGCTGGAGTCCGGCATCGCTTAAAACGTTGGCACCGTTGGCACAGTGTCCGAACCCGCTGCTTGGTTCGTTGTCTTGGAGCGGAGTAGTCACAAGATAATTCGTGGGTTGTTTCCACGAGCATTAGATAGATGCTCTCATCTCTCATCGACACTACGTCCTCCCCGTCGCAACCTACGGTCGATTTCTCGCGGTTCTTTCGCTCATTTCACAGAGTTAAAACATCGCACCGTTTCTACTCGTTCCGACAGAAGCGGGAATCATCTTTTCGCTCGAACTCGCGCAAACCAGAAATAAAACACTCCAACGTGCTCACACGCCTGGTAGACCTGCATAATCCTGCCGTGCACTACTTTCATGCAGCTACTGGGGCGGCGCTAATGGTCAGTCAACAAAAGCCCCTAGTTGAGTCCTGTACGCTCACAAGCGATTCCTTGCACCGCTTGCACCTTGCACCGACGACACCGACCACACCCCCAGCATCTACCAGCGTGTTTTTTATAAGAGCACTGCGAGGCTGCAGCACTATGAACACTACGCTAGCCTTTACGACATCAAACAAACAAAACAGGCCACGTTGGTTATCACTATTACCACTAAAACCAGATGGCGCAGAAAACCGTCTATTTAAAAGTTTATGCTTTTATTTATTTTTACACTAGATTGTTTTATCCATCTATGTCGTGAGGGTGTTCACGAGAGGGTTGGGCAGTCAGCTGGCTTCGCCGTCTCCGATGCGCGAGCGGTCATAACTTGATCGAAAATGATCGCTAACACGCCCGAAAAAGGGAATAGTTGATGATGATATCGACAGCTTATTCGTCAGGACTTCCTTTACGTGGACAAGGTGACGTACCGCGACCCTCACCATTTCCTCTTGCATAACTCCTTTCCTGCATGTGGAGCCCGGCTACCCACTTTCCCCAATCGGGAAGCTTTGCAAATATCGCATTTAAACAGTCGGCGATTCATTTACCGTTTTACTTTTTTGGTTAGTGAAATTCACTTTTAGGTTGTCGCAACTGCTAGTGGGGCGTTTTGGCCATTAGTTGCGATCAGCTCTAGATCGACGCCGCCGCGAAGTGTGACAAGTAGCGGTAAAACTTCACGATGGCACAGGCACGTTTTCGCGTCCTTTGCTTCAATTGCCGGTTTGCATTTCTTTTTATTTCTTTTAATGCATGATTGGTTTAAATTCATGTTTTTGTTCGCCAATGTTACCGGGGCAGTGTTACGTAACTACCCGCGTTTCAATGTTTGTAAACGGCCTGAAGTTATTCGAGTGAAGCGTTTGACTTCCGCGTTCCGTGGAATGTTTCTGTTCGCGTTTTTTCGTTAATATTTCAGTTTCTTGTAGAAGATTTCCAAGAGAAAGTCGCGCTGTTATAGCTTCCTTAAAAGAATAAAAATGAAAATATTCGAGTGGAACGAGTACAGACATGCTGGCTGTACACCTTCGTTGCTTTACCCGTGCTTCGTGCCTTTGCGTCAGTTGGCAAAATTAATCTAAAATATATTCTAGTACGCTGTTCAGTCCGCTCTGAATTTATTTGATAGCTCTAAAAATGAAAAAAAAAAAAAGAAATCTTGGGATTGGTGGAGGATTGAAATGAATGAGCATATACCTCGTGTTAAGATCACATTTAAAAAATTTCATAGCAGTTTGTTTTCCGAATCTTCATTCGGAAGATGTGTAATAATAAAAATAATAATAATAATAATAAAAACTCATTTTGAAGTGCATAATGCTCTTTTGTGCATCCTAATCAAGGCAATAATAGTTGGTTACAGATTAAGAACACAGTAGATGCTTTGCCTCGAGCACAAGCTTTGTGCGTTTGATAACACTTTGTCGCCCGCACTGCCAAACTTCAGCAGAAGTCAACAAGTGCATAATTCTAAACACTTTCATAATTCTAAACAGATACCATGACAATCACTTTCATTTAACTTTGTGAACAGCGTTAAACCGTCAATCCAATTCACACGTAAAGTAGAACAGAAGAGCGCACTGCCTTTCCTAGATGTTATTGTAAACCGAAACAGCATCAGACACATAGAAACAACTGTTTACAGTAAAGCTTGTGACACAGGTAACTTCTTAAACTTGCATTATCCAGTTGAGCACAAAAGAGCAGTTTTAAAAACCCTGCTATATCTGTCCAAACACATTTCTTCTAATCCCGAACGGCGAGCATCTAAAGATACATTTATTGTTGACTCCCTGGTAAAGTGGGATTATCCTAGATGTTTTGTAGAAAACACGCGTAAGCAGATGGGACAAGGGAGACGTCAGGATAAAAGTCGTAATAGAGCAGGACAACTAGCAATTCCGTATATTAAAGGCATTTCTGAGTCTATCTGCAGGGCCCTCGACCCTTTAAAGATCCAAATAATTTTCAAACCCCATCTTAAACTATGTGACCTCGTTTCTAAGCCAAAAGACAAAACCCCGCCAGAGTCCCAGTGTGGTGTTGTGTATAAATTGAACTGCCTAGATTGTGACGCATTATATATTGGAGAGACTGGCTGCAAACGTTGCACCCATATGAAAGAACACAAACGTGACGTGGCAAAACCCACGCATGCCACTAGGGAAGAGCTGGTTGATCATTGTTGGCAAACGGGTCACATTTTTGGCTTCGAGAACGCGTCGACCTTGGCGCGTGAACAAAGGTGGGGTCCCCGAAGGTACTTGGAGTCATGGTGCATCCGGTGCGATTCATCTGCTTGTAACTCCAACCGCGGCCCCCTTCTCGAAGTGTATGTGGACCTCCTTAAGTAGGATTTCTGGTTGGCGTTTTTCTCATTGCTGCTTCTGGGCTTCACTGATGATGCCTCCCATAGAGGAGATGAAATGTCTAATTAGATTGTTATTTGTGTTATGCCAAGTCGGTGTGGTGTGCTTAATCAATCCGTGATCCAGAAGGATTGGGATTTTGGCGTGTGGGTGAATTTGTGAATGCTCCGCGTCCACATTGTTGAGGGTTGTTCACACACTTGCAACTGCTTGCAAACAAGTGCGTTGCGACCTCTTGTAATCTCTTAAGACGAGACGAAGTACTGGCGCCACCTATCGAGTAACTGTGGAACACTCACAATTTCTGTATATTTCCTTTTCTTTTTCGTGCATTATTGTTTCGATATTGGCTCCAAAAGTTTTCAAGAACGTTCTAAATGACAATTTCCGATAGAGAGTATGTACAATTGATCTCGTAAATACTGCAAAATTGTTTGCTCCAGTGAAGTGCAGTTCCGGGGCCACCGCGTCGATGGCATCATAAGATGTTGGGAGGTCATAATGCGCTCGTTCGTTAGCAGACGCAAGTGTGTGGACCGGCCTTAACCGAAGAAGTGCCCCGCCTCCCCTGACCAGAGATCCTTCCCTGCAGTTCCAAATTTGTGTGATGCCGTGGAAGAGTCCAGCGAACAATGAAACCCCTGAATTGCTCAGAGTTACTGGAAAAGGGTTACACACCGACTCCATCAGAAGCTTATGCAGGTGAGCTCTCTTCCTGCTTCCTGTGTGGACCTTAGAGCCGCTAGATGGGCGACGCTTAGGGTATTGACACTCCATTCCCGATTGTCTCGTGGGTGTCGTCACCATTTTGTTACCTTGTGCAGAGTAGGTGCTATAGACCGTTCTCACCAAGCGTTCGGCGCAAGCGTGACGCTGCCATAACTTCAGTTTGGCAGGCGGCAGTGTACGAGACGGCTTGTGGTGCTCCATGCTCTGCATGCAGAGAGCTCCTGCGAGGTTAAAGCTAGAAGGCTAAAGTTCCCTCGATGCATTGCGGTAGCGGTGGCATAACCAAACTGGTTGGTTAGATTGGTCTATTGACAATGGTTATGATTAGAAAGCTGCAGCCTCCTGAGCCTTAGCTATGGTGTCGTGATGATCAGGCAACATTGTTTTAACATTTCTGGAGGACAGAAGAGCATTCCATGGGATTTCACGTAAAGAATCAAACAACTGGAAACAATGATTTTGAGCAACATTCTAGGCTAGGTGGCAGAAGCTACTGCCCGTTATAAAGGCTGCAGCCATTAGCATCCGTCCATCCTGTGGCTAAAGCATTATTACCCTGAAGCATAACTTTTTTAGTGGCTCTGGTTGACCCGTCTCTTCATGTGTGGGCTTCCGTGATATGTCAGTTTTACGTGAACATGATAAAACAGCACTCAGAACACGGAGGAAGAGAAAAGGACAGGTAGAACAAAAGAGCGCTGTCATTCTACCTGTCCTTTTCTCTTCCTCCGTGTTCTGTGCACTGTTTTATCATGTTGAAGTACCAACTAGCTCAAATCTCTACTTTACTTCAGTTCTATGGTGTGGTCGTCCGAGACAAAACACCAGGCTTCAATCTATCTGATATAGCGAATGAAAAAAATTTGCCCTAGGTATAAAAAGTCGTTGCATATTTTGGCCGATACCTGACGCTTTTATCACTGCCCATGTAGCACCTGGTTCTGTCTCGTCCTGTCGGAAGCGCACAAAGTGCCATGTACTTCTGACAGAGTTGGGGGACTGACGAGCGGGTGTGTCAGCGTGCCGTAGTTTGCGGCGCGCAGAGCTAAAGCTCGCGCTGCAGAACCCAGGGACCCTGGGTTCAATCCCCGCCCCTGCCCGTTTCAATCTGGACAAGTGCCGTACCGGCATCTGGTCGTATATTACTGCTCCTCAATGCACAGTAAAGACCTCGGGCTAGCAGTGGTACTTAATTTCTAACCTACGGTGTAAACGGATGACACAATGCGAGGCTAGACGAACCTCGCAGTGTGTAAACAGCCAACGTTTAATTTGCTCTCGCTGACAGAGTGCTTTCGTGCGTGTGCTACTCTGGTCGCCGTCTCTTTAACGCCGTTCCTGCCACCTCAGAGACCATAGTCTATGCAGAAACTTCTGTACTTTATGTTTTCTTCTTAAATGCACATTCAGTGGAAATGAAGGTGCTACACCCATGGTTTGTGCAATGGGTCAGCTAATGCAGGTATAGCGTTTATAATGATTGCGCCGTCAAATTAGGACCACTTCCCAATTACTCCGAAACATGTAAAAAAATTTTATTACAAACTAGCAAACTCCTGGGACCTTCAAAACCTTTATCTTG